GCAAGCCACCGATCGCATCACCTTTCAGGCCAACCACTGCGCCAAATACGAGGATTTGTTCTTCTCCCGGAATTTTTGTTTTCCTGATCTTCGAGGTTCAGGTGATTCTTTAAAGTCGTTTGATTCTCTGACGTTTTGGTCTGATTTTCGGATCCCTTTGAAATCTTCATTCTTGCTTCTAGTAAGAAACTTAACCAAAAGAAATATAGATTTAATTTACGATTGTCAATAAAGTTCAAGTCTAACGATACGATGATGTGTGAGGTTTTCGTAATGGAGTCGTATATTGGATAAAAATTATTTGAATAATGAGGAAAGCCAAACAGAATTGGCAAGATAAATATTTACTAATAGTCTGATATATCTGATACTTGATAATTCATTGGAGTCAAACAATTCTGATTATTATTATTATATTTGTCGTCTCGTCGATATTTTAGATTGAAATTCTTAATATAGTGGGTTCGATATAATTTGCAAAATAACAAAAATTATATAATTATCTTAAGGAAATCTTGGATTTGAGAATTTCATTTATATAGATATGATTTGATATATATGATCTTGAATTAATAAGTTTTTTGCCATATTCAAACTTAGAAGAAAATTTTTGTTATTTTAGACCTAATAGACCAAGATTTTTATTGATTAGAGGGCTTGCTATATTTAAAATATAGAATAGAATGTGTTAGGATCGCTCTATAATTGAGCAAGTTATCGATTGTATCCCCTAGGATAATTATTATTCCAAATACGAGGATTTGTTCTTCTCTCTAAGTGATTCTTTAAATCTCGTTTTCTGAGGTTATTGGAAGCTTTTGTGAAATGTGGTTTATATTAGTCTTCTGGTTTGTGTATTTTGTTTGTTTTTTTAGTGATCGTTTGATTCTCTGTGATATTTTGGTTTGATTTTTAGATCTCTTTTAAATCTTTATTCTTGCTTCTAATAAGAAATTTAACCAAAAGAAACATAGACTTAATTTACGATTGTCAATAAAATTTAAAAATAACAATAAATTAGAATATTTCTTGCTTCCTAAATAAAGATCTTGGTTTTTATATCTAACGATACGATGATGTATGAGGTTTTCGTAATGGAGTCGTATATTGTATAAAAATTGTTTGTATAACGAGGAAAGGTAAGCAGAATTGGTAAGGTAAATCTATTTACTAATAGCCCGATATATCTGATACTTGATAAAAGATATTCATTGGAGTCAAATAATTCTGATTAGTATTATCATATCTGTCGTCTCGTCGATAATTTAGATTGAAATTTCTTAATGTATTGGGTTCGGCATATTTTTAAAATAAAAAAATCTTATAATTATTTTCACGAAATCTTGAATTTGAGAAATTCCAAGATTTTTATAGGTTGAAAACGGCATAAGGATATTTGTATATATATGATTTGTTTTGTATGACCCTGAGTCATTCTCAGTACGAATGTGCCCGCAGTAGGTGATTCTGCCGGTTTTGCACGAGGTTTCGGCTAGCACAACACCAGCGAGCTTTTCCACACGAGCACATTTTTTCCGATGCACTCTGGTGGCTCCATAGGATTTGGTCGACAAGTATCTGTAGGATCAAGCGCGGCCGGGATGACTTGGAACCTTGGCATGGTGTCCTGGCACCTTGGTTCCTCATGACAGCAACCGGCAGATGGCACGCACTTTTGAATCAACTCGAATGCATGATCCTGAGTCAATAAATCTTTTGCCATATTCAAACTTATTACTAAAATCCTTGTCATTCCCTGATAGAGCAAGATTTTTAATGATCAGAGGTCTTCTATATTTGAATACAGCACAGGTTGCACCAATACCGCTCCGTAGTTGAGCAAGCCACCGATCGCATCACCTTTCAAGCCAACCACTGCGCCAAATACAAGGATTTGTTCTTCTCCCGGAATTTTTGTTTTCCTGATCTTCGAGGTTCAGGTGATTCTTTAAAGACATTTAATTCTCTGATGTTTTGGTCTGATTTTCGGATCTCTTTGCAAACTATAATTCTTGCTTCTTGTCAGAAAATTTTCCAAATCAAATATAGATTTGATTTACGATTGTCCACAAAGTTCAAAGGTAACGATAATATGTTAGAATATTCCTGACTCCTAAGATCTTGGTTTTTATATCTAACGATATGATGATGTGGGAGGTTTTCGTAATGGAGTCGTATATTGGATAGAAATTGTTTGCATAACGAGGAAAGACAAGTAGAATTGGCAAGGTAAATCTATTTACTAGCAGCCCGATATATCTGATACTTGATAAAAAAATATTCATTGGAGTCAAACAATTTTGATTATTATTATCATATTTGTCGTCTCGTCGATAATTTAGATTGAAATTTCTTAATGTAGTGGGTTCGGCATATCTTCAAAATCAAAAAAATCTTATAATTATTTTCAAGAAATCTTGAATTTGAGAAGTTCCAAGATTTTTAAAGGTTGAAAACGGTAATAAGATATTTGTATGTATATGATTGATTTGATACTACAAAAAATTGAGAGGAATTGATTATTTTTAAAATTGTATATTTCGTTTTTCTTTTCATTATGAACTGAAGTATTATGAAAGTCTTTTTCTTGGAGATGAGCGAATGAATTTTGTTTTAAGTTTGCGATGGTTTACATTCAGTGAAATTATGTATTAAATTCGAGATGGTAAATGATGGTTGGGAGTGGGTTGTGGAGAGTGCGAAAGGGAAGCGAGATGGGAGTCTATGTTGGAGTATTCTGAATATTTTCGGTTTTCTTTTTGTATCAATGGAAATTTTGGATATCTTGAAGACAAATATTTTTCAATATTTTCTTTATTTTTTTCGGCGAAATTTAGAAATAAATTTTGAAACTTGGGATTTGTTCTTGTTGAGTTTTTATTTATTGAAATTTCCTGGATATTAATTATATGGCAATTTCCGAAAATGGGGGCCGCCCTAAACAATAGGATCCTCATGAGAAGCTTCCAAAAATAAGGTACCTTAATTTTCGGAAAGCCGTATATTTACTTTAAAAATATTTGAGTTTTGAGAAAAAATGAAAAAGAATATAATATACCTCTTAGACAAATTTTGAAAAAATCTAAATATAAACACCTGATTTTGAAAACGAAATCTATAATTATAAAGATTACTGCTAAAATTTTGAAGAATATCCTCTGCCTGAAATTGAAAATCGTCCAATTTCGGTGGGCTGCCCGAACCCAAAAACGTATATCGACGACATAAAAAGGTTTTTTGTCTCGGGGAGATACACAGATTTTGGTTTGTTGCAAAACCGCTTTGTGTCCCCGTTTTTAGATCCAAAGCTTTTCTCCATGAGCTGAATTTTCATTGTCATCTTATATTAAGTCGGGTTTGAATTGAATGAATTTTTAATTTATAAAATTTTTTGATTTCTTTTTTCGGAGCAATATCTATTTTTTGCCCAATATTGGTGACTTGAAAAAATTTTACAAAATATACGTTCAAAATCAGCTCATTTCCTTTGTCTCATTCTGTTGAATTGAGTTCATTGCTTTCTTTCAGCTAGAAGCTTGTTCGTCTGTGAGCATTTCCTTTCTTCCTTTCTGTTGAACTGAGATCATTGCTTTCTTTCACCTAGAAGCTTGTTCGTCCGCGGGCATTTCTTTTCTCTCATTCTATTGAATTGACTTGCTTTTTTTCTTTCAGCCAGAACCGTGTTCGTCCGTGAGCATTTCCTTTCTTCCATTCTGTTGAATTGAATGCATTGCTTTTTTCAGCTACAAGCTCATTCGTACGTGAGCATGTCTTTTCTTCCTTTCTGTTGAATTGAGAACCTCAATCCAGACCACCTGCACTGATGCATGATGCCAATATCATCACTCTGGCTCAGGCTAGCGACTGGGAGCCACTTGCAGAGGCCCTTCGGGCCAGGCATCGCAGCCATGGCTTGCAGCATTGCCCTCTTTGCCATCAGTGGTTCACCCGCACGCAGAATATTTACAGGCACCTTAAAAAGCAGCACCCTCCCTCTCCTGCCCTTGAAACTGTGCGTGTCAACTGGCTCTCAGCTCGGACGCTTGGTGACAGCTCTCCTTGCAGTTGGTGTTCTGCCAAAGCCGCGTACAAAACCCAACACGTTTCAGCTTGTCCCGTTTTGCAACAAACCATTACCCTACGCCTCATCCTCTGCTACCTGCCGGCCATGAGCCTCAACGGAGGCGAGCCCTTGACCACGCAGAGGATGAAGGAAGCCGAAGCAGAACTAGCCCTCCGCCAGTGCTGGGGCGAACCACACCTGCCAACGCCGATGGACACGGAAGCTCAGGTGGGGGAGAAGCGCTCACCATCTCCCACCTAAGAACCCAGAAAGTACCATCGCAAGGACTCGAAAGATGGTGGAACCGGGGAGGGATCCGGCGATCGTCCCGGTCACTCTCGCCAGCTGCCTCGACCTCCTCGCACCCGTCCCGTCGCAGTGGAACCGACGGACACCAACACAGAAGGAATGATGTGGTTAATGGGCAAGTTGCTGCTGAGAATGGAGGATCAGATGGCTCTGGACAAGTCCAGAGCG